AGCAAACCAGCCAATGAAATGGATGAAACATCGTGACAGGGTTCCAGCGCTACACAAGGGACCTGCTTCAAACATACCACCATGCCAATCAGATTACTTCTTCCATGTGAGGGTGAAGAGGTGACCCTTCTGGATAAGATGGTGAAGGTTTGAACAGTGTCATAATAAAACCAGGGAAAATGAAACCTGCACCTGTTAAATATTCTTAAGTCTTGTGCTGTATAAATAGCGGTAATTTTTCAAAAGATACAGTAAATAATGTTAGTAGTGGTTGATATCATGTAAACACTGTCATGATTTGGTGTAAACATTTTGTCATTTGTAAACTATAAATGATATGGATTCTACATTGTAACTGATGTGGTGTTCTATAAAGTGGTTTCAATAAAAAAAAAAGAGGCAAAAATTAGTTTGTTTCTTTATTCAACTTTTGAACAGTGGTACTCAGTCAGTACATATTCAGTAAATGCAAATTATTTACACGGCAGTGCACTACAGGCATAAATCTAGACCCCTAGATAAAACATTATGGCATTACAGCAGTGACAACTCCTCCACAGTAGCAGGTGGGATTTTTCTTTTTTGAGGACGGCTCCTTTTCCCTGTCACTACAGATGGTCTGTTTATGTTTTGATCAAGAGCCTTTTTTTGGGCAGCTGAAGAGGAGAAGTCTATCTTACGGCCAACCACTGACTGTATCTTGGTCATATTACCCAGCAAAACCCAGTATGCAGGTTCATCTGTAACAGTCCTTGTGCCACGGATCAACACTGTTGCTTCTACATTAAACAGAAGAGCAGCGACGTGGGTGCAGGTCTCCGCGACTCCGGCCTTACAGGTGCAGTGGGCGGCTTCTACCTTCCCTGTGATGCTCACAGTGACCCATGGCTGCAATGCTGGTTCATTCAGTCTTTGAGAGTGCAGGACCTGAAACACACACAGACAAAGTTAATTTAAAGACAAGAACTATGAGCCAAGGCCGACATAAATGTGTTTTATCTACTTTATCAGAAATGTAACAAAGTGTTTAGAAAGTTAGCACATACATGTAATTTTTCATTTCTTTATGTGTCCATCGCTGCATGTTATAATAATGGATTGGATTTATATAGCGCTTTTCAAGGCACCCAACGCACTTTACAATGACACTATTCATTATAGTGTAAATCTGCCTGTTCTCTGTCAGAAACCTGCCTGCAGAAAATGAACCTAAAGTATGTAATGCAAGGATGTCATCACTTTAGAGATGGAGAAATCATAAAGTGACAATTATGAATCACTTAATATGATATGGAGATTCTGCAGGTCATTAATCAATGTATAAAACTAAAATAAAATGTATTTTTAGTGACACAAGATACAAATATGGAAGCAAGATCTATAATTAGAATTATTTATAATAAATATGAATAAATCATTGCAATTTCTTTAACCATAAAGAATAACTAAATCCTTCAGGACAATGTCACATCAATGCACTGAACTCACTATGTTATCACTGTAATTTCCCCTCATGAATGAATTTATGCTGCACTAATCTGAATGTTTGCAGGGAAATCAAACGCATTTCACACGCAGTACTCTAGCTGACTTACCTTTGTTTGAATGACGACTTGTACGGCGTTTACTTCACAGACAAGGTACGAGAATATGTCAGGCTACGTCAATAGCTGTTTGGTCTTCAGGGTTTCTACTCCACGGCCGTATTTCATAGGGGTGCACATTTCCAATGCACGCTATTTTCTGCAAGTACCGCTGCTTTGCCTCTGAACGAAATCGGTCTCTATACAGTCCATTCTCTTTTGAGCTGTTTTTAAGCATCTTGTAATCGTCGTTCCAACACAGTGCGTTTGTTTTGATTCGTAGACCCCGAAAATGGTGCCGCGCTCCCACAATGCATTGCGGCGTGACGTCAACTCCAAAGCCCTATATTCATGGCAATATAAAGTCATGTGAACAACTAACAGCATTCTTACTTGTTCAACAACATTAATCAAGTGCTGCTAATCAAATCCACTTGATTAAATAAATTAACAATTGTGAGCGCCTCTATAAAAGCAGGCCTCATTTAGCATGTTAAAAGATAGTAAAAAGGGGGTGGGGGTCTGGCATTGGTTGAAAGGGTTGCCTCTTCTCTATAATATGGTAGAATGGTTTAGGTTTGCAAATTCAAGAATGCCGATTCTGTTCATTCTATCCCTTTCTCTGTGAAAGAAACATTTTGTCACTCATCCAGGTGACTTCTTCAAGTCTTCTTCAGACTGAAGAATTCACTTGGATGAGTGGTGACACATTTCTCCAGCTGAAAACATAATGTTCAGATGAACAGCTTTCTGGGATTTCCTTACCTGGATGATTGAGCATACATCTACAGATTAGATTTGCAGTTTTGTAAGTTTCATCTAAGAAAAGTGCAAGACTTCTCCTTTGGATAGAGGAGGCTAGCCAGTTAAAGCTTGGTCCAAACTGTGCCACACAACAGGACAATAATCCTGAGGGCAGCAGCAAATCTATAACAGAATAGCTGAAAAAGAAAAGAATCAAGGTCCAGTCAAAGCCCAGACCTCAGCCTGACTGTAACAGTGAGGTGGGACCTTAAGTGAGTGGTGCACAAGTCGATGCCTGCAAATTTCCATGAACTGAACCAATGCTGTAAAGACGAGTGGGACACAATTCCTCCACAATGCTGTGAGAGACTGATAAAGTCACATTTATTGCTGCTGCAGGTGGTTGTACAAGCTACTGAATCATGAGGATGCTTATTTTTTCACATGTATATTTGCCCTAATCCACATGTACATTATAATAAAGGCCAAATGTATTTTAACAGTATGCCACGCTGATCAACTGTAAAGTTAAATGTAATTTCTAAGAAGGTACTGATGTTTAAAACAGCAAAATGACAAGTTCAAAAGAACACTGTAAATAAAAGGGACAGTTACACCCTCCAAAAGGCGTAAACATCACATCCACCTTATAAAGATTAAGCCTAAGAAAGTAGAAAATTTAAGTGTGTTTTGAAAATAAACAATAAAGAAGCATCGCATCTAGGCATTAAACTGGAACTTTATTTTGTTTTTCTTTGCTGACATTTAAACACAAGAGTGAAACATGAGATCCAGCCTGCTTTATTTCTGTGTTCTCTGGAGTTCTTTCTTCATCGGGACTAAACAAGTCTTTGGAAAAGACAATGTGAGGTAATGTGTTAAACACATGAAATCTTAAATATTCAATAAAAACATTCAAGTAACTAAAGGAAACACTTAATTTATATTTTCTGTAACTACACTTGTAATTATACTCTTTATACTTTCTATTTCAATTCTTGTTCATAAAAGCATAAAGTTCGCATTACAAAATGACCTGTAATAAAGTCTGGTGAAGCAACTCAATCCTGTTTCTGTCTCAAAAATATATTAATTTTAATATTTAACATCAACTAAGATGTGCATATTTATTAGTCTTTGACTTGTTGATTGATTTAATACCCCGCAGCCTCAAAAAACTGCATAAATGAATTATTATTTATTCCACGTCAACTTGAATTACTATTTATAGCCTTATTATTGCCTAATAGCCTGATGGTTGTGATGAAGTTTACTTATGTGTTCCTGTCGTATATCATACACGTATTTAGTTAATGGGTAATAAATTACGCTATAAATGATTAACTACCTCGTAACCAGTACTATCTGCCACTGTAATGGGGCTAGAGACCCTCTCATGGAGGAAGTCCCGCCTTCTCATATCACTAAAGGAAATCATTGGTTCCTAGACATGGCAATCAAATAACAGCCATGTCTAGATTACGGGTCAGATAGGAGACCGTCGGTTTTAATCTGGTTGACTTCAGTGTGGTTTATTTCAGCGTTACACCTCTGAGGATCTACGCAGGGTAAAAGCTGAGATCTGTAGAGGGACGCCGACGGACTGTGAACGCTCCCCGACGGCTTCATCTGCGACTTTTATCCGCACAAAATCAAGATGGTGTTAATAATTAGACGCTAGAAACGGCGGCATGTGTTGAGCCCGTAAAAAAATATAATTAAAGGGTGTTTCCAGAGGATCCCGGCTGCCAAACATAGAACAGCTGCAAATGTGATTCCTGCTCGTTGCAGAGGCGGTGAAGGAAAAAAAAAATCCATCCAGATGATGTCAGGAAAGCATTTCAAGGCTCACGAAGTGAGCTGCTGCATCAAGTATTTCATTTTCGGATTCAACATTATATTCTGGGTAAGTCCCCCGTCTGCTGTTTGCGACTTCAGGCCTGCCATCGTCAGTTTAACACGCTGACACGCTCTTTGTTCCCAATCAGCAGCTGTGAGGTGCATTTATGTGTGCGTGTGTGTTTGTTGTGGTGTTCTATGTTGTCCTGGGTTTCGATTCGCTTCCACTTTCTCTTTTGCTCCTGTGCACTTGCTCCCTGTCACCCATCAGCCCGCTTTGTTTTCGTGTGTCCTCCATCAGAGTGAGAACAGCTCTCTCTCTCGGCATCATCGCGTGTTTACATGACCGTAGCTTTCAGCTGAGGCCTTTTTTTCTTCTTTTTTTGTGGTGATGTTTAGGTTACGAAAACAGCCGTCACCTTTTCTATGCATGAGTGAAACCGCAGGGGAAAAAAACCCAAACATTCCGTCTTTTATACCCACAGTCACCGTGGGCCGCCAGTTCCTGGCTTGAAACAATAACCTGCATGGGTGCTTTTTTCACAGGTTGTTGATGAGGGAAGGTGGGGTAGGCTTTACTAATGGTTAGTTAAGTTATTAACAGAGCGATGCTCTCGTAGAACCGCAGCGATTAATCGATTTAAACAGTGACTGTTTTGATTGATTCATTGTTTTAGCTAATTTAAAGCAAAAACGCTGTCAGTGAGTCCAAGTGTTAATTGTTTGATATTGGCTGCTTCTCCAGTACTTGTATTAAAGTAAGTAGAATAATCAGTGGATTTAGAGGATTGGTCGCAGAAAACAATGCCTAACTTATAAGTGATGTATGAAATAGTGTGGCCTGTTTTGAATAAGAGACAGCAGGGACATTATGCTCATCATTGATTGTTCTGTCATATTTTTTAACCGTCCGTCAGTCAATGAACAGTTTGGTTGAAATAGTAGAATAAAACTTCACATAATGTAGTGATCCAAGACGTTCAAGAAAACGTTGAGAGTAAGAATTTTGTTTTTGAGGGTGTATCGCCAGAGCTATGCAGCATTAACCTTTTTGGATAACAGGAGCTCCTTTGTAAAAACATGCACAGGCCACTCAGAAGGGTCATACCTGCGTTTGAACCCAGGATCGTCCGGCCTTGAGGCCATAGTGCTAACCACTGTGCTGCCTGAGACATTTGTTTATTATCATATTTGGTGCCAACAAATGAACTGCTTGCTCCACAGCATCATATACGGCATGTTCTTTGGATGGATTAAATATGGGCATATCTACTTTTGTCTACATACAAATACAAATACAGATACAGATACAGTAAATTGCAGCAGTCCGGATAGGCACTGTTGGCCATATAAGGCCTTTTTAACAGCAGGGATTTTGTCTTGTTATTGTGGGGAAAACACAGATGCTGACAACATCTCTGATGATATTAGTAACAGTTCAAGTGTCCTGGTAAGTCATTGTGGTGTGGGAGTGTGGGACTTTCGGCCCAAGCCCCTATCTTTTTTATTCACCTATTTATATCAGTAATTTTGACTTGTGCTAGCTGACATAAAAAATAAAATAAAACAAAGAAGCTAAAAAATACACTAAATTCAGCACATGCTACTTTAGCAATGAATGGCATTGTGTGCCCAGTGGTTCTTCACGTATCGTGGACTGATAGAGACAAAGGCCTTTTGGGCTGTGGAAAAGCTCTCAGCCAACTGTACAGCAATCGGCCCCTTTGAGCTTTGTGTCATTCAGGTATCATCAGTAGAAGCTGCTTATGTCACAAACAACTGTTCCCCTGCCTTAACAGCTGTCTCACAAACAAATACTTGAGATGGTCTGTAAAGTTCATTATCTTTAATCTAAAAAAAAAGTCCTTAGTGCTTCTATCTGGTGAATAAATGGGTCTAATTCAACAAAAGACTTCAGTTAAAATCAGTTATTCAAAAACCTATTATTTCTCATCTTTATTTTAGTGCTTGTTAAAGTCCTGGTAAGTTAGTGGGGTTTTAATTTTATTAGTGAAGGTGTTCTTGGATTAAAACATATCCAACAACAATAATTGTTGTTGAAATCCTCACAAATGAAGTGGCTTATAAAGTATACTGTTTTTCTCAAGTTTCTCTTGTCATGGTTTGTCAGTGAAGATGTATCACAGTAGACACTGAAGCGTAAATATTTTTTACCGAGTTTGTCTCTATGCTTTTTTTAAGTGCATTGTGGTGAGTAGGATGTAAAAAAGTTATTTCAAATAGAAAACCAAAACTCATTGCAAGTGAATGTGAAAGTAACAAAAGGCATGGAAATGTGACAATTAAATAAGGTGTTTATTAAAAACATATTAAAGTAATTAGCACAAGATTTAAAAAGTCTTGTAAACACAAACTACCATAAAATATTCAATCATAATACTGTCATAGTAATAATATTCCCGATTACTGCTTCTACACTGCGGCGTACAGTTATGTACAGTCAAGCTGATGCTTTCTAATGTGGAAGCCTCCTGCTGATCCTGCAGACTGGGATGAGAAATATTTAGTAATGGACCACTGCCAGGAAAATCTCTCTGTGGTTTCTGTCAGTGTGCGTCTGTGTGATGACTACATGTAGCAGTCACAGCAAAATAATCCTGCTCTCTTGTTTCTCTCTTTTCTGCCTCTGTCAGTTCCTTGGAGTAGCGTTTCTTGCCATTGGTTTGTGGGCATGGAGTGAAAAGGTTAGTCGTGTATTAATGTGTAATAACAAGTTGCAGGACTTATTTCTGTGAAGCTTTTTACTTACAGGTATCTGCAAATATTCCATAAACCCGGCATATCGTTGTGGTTTATACTCGACTGTGTGCAAGGAATGGTCACAGTGGCTTTACTGAATCAGAAAGGAATGCTGTGCTTTCCTGTGGGACTCGTGAACAATGGGCTATGAATTGATCTGATGCATTTCACAGATTTGTTCATTGTGTACTAAGAGTACAAAAAGCAGACAATCTACTGAGAGCACTGTTTCACCAAAGTACATTTGAAGATCTTGATCATTATCTCATCCTACATACGTGACTACAACTAATATTATTTATTTATTTGTTAATTGCTAAATTATTATAATGGGTTGATTAACTTTAAGATTAATATAATGTCAAATGTATGGTGTAAAAAGTTTGGGTTAAATTAGACTGTTAGCTTTGGACAAAAACAAACAGTTAGACAGGCTCTATCTAGAGGTAAGAAAATCTACATACAGCATCATGGGCTTGAATGTGTTCTTTTTCCAGCACAGAATTATTGTACAGTATGTACCTTTAATCTTCAGAAAAAAATAATGGCACAGGTTTAAATTTTATTTGGATTTTCTCTAATCCACACAGGGTCAAAAGTATAAATGCAGGTTCAAATATATACATATTTATAATATCTGGTCAAATGTCCCTTAGTTGCACCTTGGTAGCCATCAACAAGCTTCTGCCATAATTCTGCCTGAATATTTGACCATTCACCTTGGCAGAATTGGTAAAGTTCCTGGCATGGACCTGGCTTTTAAGCTTAGTCCATAAATACCCAAAAGGGTTGAGGTCAGGCGTTGGGAAGGCCACTCCAGAAGCTTAATGTTAGCCTGCTTTATCTATCCCAAAACCACTTTTGATGTGTATTTGGATCATTGCCCTTTTGACTTGTCAAAAGGTGCAAATTTCAATCAAGCTTGAAAGTGTTGATTTTGGACCAGGGGCTTCTTTCTGTGATGAAACACTCGCTTGACTGGAGACAGTGACGCTGGCGTTTCAGCAGTTTCCAGTTCATAGCAGGCTTGAACCTTAATTTTTTGAACATCCTAACCAATTACCATTCAGCCGAGTGTGACAGTTTGGATCTTCTACCAGACTTTAGCTGGAACTGGTGGATGTGGTGACACATTCAAATAACTTATACTTACATAGAAATGTTTGAACTGATAGTCTTGAAATGTGAAGTTGTTTAGAAATGACTTCAAGAGATCTACCCAATTTGAATTCCTTCGATTTGTACGCTGTTGTATTGAAGAATTCAGTGAGTGCTGTCAAACAAATCATTTTTATGCTGATGAAGTTGTGATCTAGTTGTGGTCAGTCATGATCACTACCAAGTTAATAGGCCTAGACTTTGCTATACAATCATTCTACCCTGGTAAAAGAGCAGTTCAAAGAAAACAGTACCAACACTACCATGGCATTCATGCTAATGATAGGTGTATGTCAACTTCTGACACAACTCTAATAGCATATCTATAGCTCACTGGTTTACATGCTAGAGCTTGTTTGTTTTGTCACTGCAGAAATTGAAAAATCAAATTAGGTTGGTTAGCTTTGTACAGATCCAGGAAGCTAATTGTAGCTAATATATGATAAGCTAAGTCAATTAAAACATATTTACATGTGCTCGCTCTGAGCAAGAGTAAATTAGCTTGTTCCCAAAAATCAAAAACAATTGACAATTTTATTATTAAATTCTTTTAAATAATTGCTTACATTGGTTTGGATTGTACTTTATGAAATTTGGGTTTTAAACATGCTTACAAAATTATTACTTTACCTGGGAAGAATATTAGCAATGTGGTGATATTTCAGTGGTTTTTCAGTTGATTTTGACCTCACGTGCTTTGCTCCCAGGGTGTTCTGTCCAACATCTCATCCATCACTGACCTGGGGGGCTTTGACCCTGTCTGGCTCTTCCTTGTCGTGGGTGGTGTGATGTTCATTCTCGGGTTTGCTGGTTGCATTGGAGCGCTGCGGGAAAACTCTTTCCTGCTCAAGTTTGTATGTTTGTTAAAGGCTTTCTCAGAAATCTATAATTCTTTATATTTCTTGTTTTCATAACAGTTATTAAATTCAGAAAATTCTCATGTTTTTCAGTTCTCCGTGTTCCTGGGCATCATTTTCTTTCTTGAGCTGACTGCTGGAGTCCTGGCCTTTGTCTTCAAAGACTGGATCAAGGACCAGCTCAATTTTTTCATTAATAACAACATTCGGGCCTACAGAGATGACATTGATCTGCAGAACCTGATCGACTTCACCCAGGAATATGTAAGCAACGTTTCTTTATTTGTGGCACCGATTTCTTTCTAGTATTTTTACCTTGTATGTGTGATATTTGTTATTGTAGTGGGAGTGTTGCGGAGCTTTTGGGGCTGATGATTGGAATTTGAACATCTACTTCAACTGTACTGATTCAAACCCGAGTCGTGAGAAATGTGGAGTGCCCTTTTCCTGCTGCACCAAAGATCCAGCGGTATGTCTCTCTATCACAAGATAACATTGTGGCTGTTGGTGTTTTTGTGTCCTTTGTTAGAGTTTAAAATAATTTTTAACATGCTGAAACTACAAGACTTGAGGGGAAGTTGTGAAGGGCTTTCTTGTCACAGACAGCTTGTTATCTATGTTCTCCAGAAGAAGCAGTGACGCTGTCAGCGACGATGGCTTGCATCCAACAGGACGCTCAGGACGCTGTGTTTAGTCGTGTCAGGCCCTGACTGCAAGTCAGAGTCTGAAAGCGGATGGGTGGGACTCTGGACTGAGGCATTTTTTGGCAGAAAAATACTCTTAACTGCTGCTTACTGTGCGCAGCACAGTGACTTTACTTCAGAAAAACAGACTCAGGAAATTTGACAATCCAAGGACACGCTGTCCCACCAAGGTCATTCTCTATAAGGGGAAAAAAAGGAAACACTTGGATTTTAAAAAGTTGTTTTTCAAAGGCACTGTGTGCTCTTAATGTGTCTACCATATCAAAACATTTTCATTTTTTTTAATTTTAATTGTTTAGTTGGGTTGTGCAGCAGGTGTCTTTTGTGGTTATATTTCAGGTCAGGTCTTTATCAGCCAGTTTCAAGTCAGTTGAAAGTTGTTGTTTTTTTTTGCTGCTAGCTTTCCATCAAAAAGGATTAATTTAAAATAAAAGGTGACATTTAAAAATTAGTTTTGTTAGCATCTTTAAATGCCATAAAAATTACATCAAAAAGCTGAAATGCTTTTAGTGGGTTTTTTTTACATTGCTACAAGTGCTGCTGGAAGTTTGACTTCTTTTAAACGTTTTCTTCTGCTCTACGGATCTAAGGAAAAGGCAAAGGTTTACCAGAAACCTCTGCCAAACAATCCCTTTTTCCCCCTCTGTTTGTGACACCACATCCAGTGAAGCCATTTCATTTTGGCTGACCATTAAGGAAAAGATTTCCACCAGACTTTATTCTCAAACATTGCCCTTTGTCAGCAGTGTTTTACACATTTTATTTTAATGATCTGCCCACTAAAGTTTTTATTTGTTGTTTTCAGAAGTCTAAGAGAACAAAATTTGACTTCTGGGAGTTAAATGTTACTGTAGCCCAAGTTTCTGCAGCTGTGGTCCCACACAGTCTTATAAAGGTTAACCTGACCAGAAAGGCAGATGCATGCTTTCACACAAAACTTGGAGTCGTTTAATCTTCACAAGTAGAATATAATAGGCAAGCAAACATAAACAAATCCTTGGTTTATATGCAAAAATCTTCACAGTAACTGTATAACCATGGATTGGTGAGTTTTACTCATGATCATCTAGTTTTACAGTTTGTAATGTGTATGCATGTTTTATTGTTTTTCACTGTAAAGGCAGTCTAGAATCTCTAGCTAATCTAAAAATGCATGTGTATCTTCCCTTCGCAGGAGGACGTCATTAACACTCAGTGTGGATACGACATCCGAGCAAAACCGGTGAGCTACAAATGGAAACTTAAATTTATCACCGAGACTGAGACCCTGATGTAAAAAGTAAAAGGAATAGAAAAGAGTAGAAAGCATGAATTGTTCTGGCTTATTTTGCCTCAGGGAGGTTTATATGGTTATATGAGGTCATCAGTTGCTCCACCCTGGACACATTATTCCTCTTTCAGTATGTTTCTCAACTCCTCACTCGTGAAAATACAGCAGCTGGCTCTCCATCAACACTTTTGGCCTTGTGGCATTACTCATGCAGCAGCAATGCAATGGGAATTGAAATCCCCTCCCCCGCCTGTCATTAGCTTTGGCTAAGCGGCCAGCGTAATGTAAGGAAAAAAGGCTCTGTTTGTTTTCTTGACTTTAAATGTGAGCCAGAGTGAAGCGGTTTTAACAAGAGTCAGAGGAGGAAAACAGTGAGCCGAGTGTGTGTTAACGACTACGTAACACTGGATCAGAGGCATTTTGCTGTGGTGGGCTTTAGGGGAAACCGCAAAATGAAAAGGGGAATCATATGCTATTAAAAATAACTGTGTTGTTAAGTGTCGTGGAGCAAAATAAAACCAAATATATTTCAGATGAACTTGATTATCACGCTGTAGTATTGGTTTGAATTGTAATTGTTTTGACAGGACTCTGACCAGAGGTCATTCATCTATATCAAAGGCTGCGTACCACAGTTTGAGAAGTGGCTTCAAGATAACCTGACAGTGGTGGCAGGCATATTTATTGGGATTGCATTACTGCAGGTGGGGATCAGTTTGTCCTAAACATCTGAGCTTTTGTAATTTTTTCCATTACCTAACAATTTGTTTTCCTTTTTTTTTTTTTTTTTTTTTAGATTTTTGGCATCTGTTTAGCGCAAAATCTCGTGAGCGACATCGAGGCTGTGAGAGAGAGTTGGTAGGTAACAAGGGTCATCAGGGTGACGTGTCAAATTTTGTGTCTTGAGTGCATAATTTTTGTAAATCAGTTCACGGCTTGTAGGGGTTTATTTTGTAATTTAACATATTAACCTACATGAGTTAAATTTCCATATTCTCCATATTTAAGAGAGCACTAAAAACCTCTTCAGACAGCCATAAAGACCCGATGGGCAGGGCTGCTTGTGTATTATGAAATATCCTTTTGACTATTATTACTTTTGTATGTAAACCTTCATAATAAAAGTCTCACGATTATGGTTGCAACACCCTGACATGGAAGAACATACAAATTATTGGACAGTTGCACAAAAGCTTTAATTATTTGAAAAGCTTTACAACTATTGGTATTTATAAATTTGGACTATTTTAACTATATTAACACTTAAAAATAAAAAAAAGCACAACAAAGTATTTTGCTTTAAACTATATTATAATTCTTTTGTTTAGTATTGTTTCAATTTTTCTTCGTCCTCTTTAAAATGACAGTTGCACCTGACTATAATGATCATAGCGTATCTTTGCTTTTATGTGTCATGTTCAACATACGTAACTCTGTGGTGACGATAATTTGTATCGGCAACAAAATTTTATTTAGTCACCACTAAATATGGAAAGATGAATCGCACAAGTCCAGCAAGCCTGGCAAAAGCTTTCCGTATCCGTTTTTACTAGATATTGTAATGCACCGAAAATGCTTTGGAACTAAAAAAAGGTTTAACAGAATAAACTCCTACTGTCAGGAATTATTTTAATCTAAAATGATGCATTATGTGTGTCATGTCAAACGTGTGTGTCACGTCAATAACTTATAAGCATAATTTCGTTGTTAAAAACCAATAGTTGGCGGCTGTAGAGTTGGCTTTGGGTGTATTATGGTTCAGAATGACATAAACATGTAATATAATAATAAATGTAGCGACGTTTTGAAAACACATTCCAGGTCCACAAATGAATTTGAAATTGCCTGAGTTTCCCTGTATTAACACCAGCAGGTTGATATCTTTGCTTCCAAGTGAGATAACTGTGTGAATTGTCACATACTGAGTTACTTTGTGGTAACTTTGGTTATTCAGGGACATTCTGCAAAGCACCAACATCAGGCTAGAAAGGCGCCCTGATGAAAAAATTAAACGTTGTTGCAAACATCTTAAACTTAAAAACAAAAAGAATCACAAACAGCCTCATCGGTATTACATCATTAGTGCTAATGGCAAGTATAATGTAAGGAAACAAGGTGCCCCAGTTATTCTAAAACTTAAAAAACATCCACCTAATTGGAAACTTGAAAATGTGCTGCAGCCCACACAAACCTCTAAATACCACCATCACCCGCTGCTTTGCAAAGTCCTGCTTTGAAGGTTGACTATTTAGTCAGCGTTTTCCTGTCGCCATCTTGGTTATTTATTTCATTCTATATGGGATCATAAGTCACAGAATAAGCATCTTTTATTAACTAACCCTCTGCTTCTCAGTGTTGCAAACAAAGCTTATTTTGCTTGTGCTTTTTATTGTCTTGGTTGTTTTATTGTTCCGATTCATAAATCTGCTTCCTGTTTTTGTGCAGTTTGTTTACCTAAGACCTCCAGAGAGTTTTCAAAGGCAGGAAAGATGTACAAGGTAAGCGCTTTCAGATCAATATAGCAGTATAAATTATCGATCTCCTCCGATGTTTTTTATTTTTTTATTTTATTTTATTTTTACAGGACTCTGCGGCTCGGATGCCAGTGTTGGAGGGAAGTACTTTAGTCACCTAAATTGTGCAGTATGAAGAGTCTCGCTCATATGTAAATAGTAAATTTAGAATTATTTTTAGAGTTACTGTA